GTGTGTGTGTGTGTGTGTGTGTGTGTGTGTGTGTGTGTGTATATGTCTGAGTGGTAGTTACAAGTTAAAACCCAAGCGTGGTCACTTAGGATGAGCTTGGGGCAATGGTTCCTAATCACTGGGAGAACTGTGTCCACGGAGATGGTGTTCACGCAGGGAGCAGGGGGATGCTATCTCTGGCGGAGGCATCATCGTGGGTTAAGCCCCTGCTCTGCAGCGATTTGGAGTGGGCCCAACACCTACCCAGCAGGTAGAGGCGCAGACAAGCTGTGCTTTACTCCTTCTATTCAGATGTAAAGGAAGAAGTAGAAAGGCTTTCTCACACTCAGGATCTTTTAAACAATCATGTTTATAAGCTTTATCTACACAATCCAAAATAAAATATTTAAGCTCCTTACAGGCTCTTAGAAGCAAAGATTTGGCAAGCTCTTCAGAGCATGCTTACTGCCTTGGGTTTGTAGTTACAGTAAGCCAATATGTATTTTTAGGTGGAACTTGAAGTTTACACTTACAGATTAGATCCATCAAAGAACACCAGAGAATAAGATATTCCCAGGATGCCCCGCTATCATTTGCTATTCACTACCATTAATTGGGACCAACAAAAGCATCCGATGCTGTCGAGCTGATATCTTGGACTCTGTGAGGCTGGGGAAAAGGGAGGGTCCCCTGGGGAGGAGGCTGGTCCCAGCATAGAGGTGAGAAGGGAAGGCTGAGGAGGAGTCAGGGAAAGGACAGGCACAGATCCAATGAACGAGCAAGGACACGCACAATAGCTGGGTCTGATGGGCACTTGTTATTCCCGCACGTGGGGAGCCAGGCAGGGATACAGCCGTGGGCTGAATTGCAGGTTATACTGGGCTACAGAGTAAAATGCTGAAATAAAAATGAAATAAGGGAGATAGAATAGACACAGCAGCTACCAGGTAACAGAGCGCATGTACTGTACAACTCGGTAGGTGATTCTTTCCCCAGATCTATGGTAACATGTGTATACCCTTGCCTCTTGACTCTCCTATGGCCTCTTGGGAAAACTACTGCTATCTTTGATATTCTCCATTTTATGTGGTTGTGGTTTTGTTGTGAGACAGGGTCTCACTTTGTGACTTAGGCTGGCCTTGAACCCAGAATCTTCCTGCCCAGCCCCCCAGTGCTGGGGTCATAGGTGAGCGCCACCAGACTCATAACCTCTCCTCCGCTGGGATCCATGGTGGTTTTTTCCTTTGAACCAAAAGAGCACAGCAGGGACGAGTGGCAACAGCTTTCAAGGCCAGGCTATGAAACACAACATGGCGCTCATCACCCCTTTCTTTCCCTCCCATTCTCCTCCTTCCACGCCTCCATCCTTCTCCTCCTCCGTCTTGATAGGACACAGAGAGAGACCCCATTTGTACATGGTATAACCCACTCAGGTTGTTAGTCCATATGCAGTATCTTGTGAGTCAACGAGCCTGCCAAAGATCCCTGCCCTCATGTCCCTGCTGAGGTCCCTGGGGAGCAGCCATATAACTCTGTCACCATGCTCCCTTTCAGTTCCTGACCCAGGCAACCAAGAAACGGAATAGGCAGAATAAGCGGCCACTATTATTTCTAGGTGATTTGTTATAACCACAGGACTCAGAGGGTGACCTCTTATCCCAGCTTCATACGAGAACTTCTAAGGCCCTCAAGTGTGCCCTGTGACCATCTGTCCAGGTATCTCAGCTTTGTCTTCCGTTCAATGGTTCCTGCTCAAGAAGCTGTCCCAACCACGGCGCCACCAACCGTCTCGACTGTAGTGGGCACAATCAGAGCCAGCTCCGGCTTGTGGGGAACCGTCACCAGCAGCAGGAGAACTGTGCTCAGCTCTACAAATCAGCTGGAGAGAAACTGAAAGAGGAACAGCAAGGGCGGTGAGCCCCTGCTCTGCATGGATAAGTGCCTTCTGGGGTCCTTTGTATACAGAGCTGGTGACATGTTGCTCCCACCCACCACAGACGACTTCTAAACAGGAGGAAAAAGAACAGAATTGAAAAGACACATGCCAGTTTTTAAATCGGTGTCTGCCACTGCCACCTGCTAAACAGTGTATTCAGTAAGATGGTTTCTTCAGACTGTGAGCCTCTCAGCCTAGCCAGGGGCTTTGTGGGATACAACAGGGCTCTAAAGAATTGCTTAATATGACCATGGAAGAAGTTGATGTTATGCTCATTGGGTGGGTGTTTCTCGGTGAGGAGAGAGGAAAGTTGCTGAGAGGCCATCATAGATGCCATCCCAGAGTCTGGGCACACGTGACTTAAGATCTGAACTGTGAGGTCATTTAGTTGAAGGAATGAAAACCACGAGAGCAGCCATACTCTCCAGAGGACAACTTGTGGTGATTAGCTCTCTCCCACCACCATGTGGGTCCCAGGGATCAAACTCAGGTCACCAGGCTTGGTGGCAAGCGTTTTATCGGCTAAACCATCTCACCAACCAAAGTAAATGCACTTGACTTAGGTTTTAGATACATTGGATAGGGGCATCTCATCCCCAGCTTTCACCTAGAAAAAAAGTTCATGAGTTCATACTTTATAGAAAAAGAAGAGAAACAAGAATTCTGTATTTTTCTTTAAGTTTTCACTCATGAGACAGTGTTAGGCAGGGAAGCAGTCAATCATAACTCAAGCGATTTGGTGTAATTATCCTTCATCTGCTAATTTCTAGGAAGGGAAAAATATGATTTAAATGCACTTCCGCACAGCTGTTGATTGGGCATAATGGCATAGTAATCACGGGATTGCTGATAGAGTGCAGTTAATGTTGGAACATCATTGTCTGAGGAACCAAGGACTCCAAAGCCAGAAACAACATCCAGCTAACCAACGATTCCCCACACACGCTTTCTCTTTGTCTGTTCTTCAAAGTCAATTAAGCAGAGCAAACGAAAGCCAGTTAATTACATCAATTTTGAGGTCAGCTCCAACAACCTAAATCTCTATGACAAACAAATCACAATTTTAAAAGCTGTTCTTTTTAAATCAATACATAGGCAACAATCATAATAAGAGAAGCTGCAAGACATTTGCTAATACATCAATAAATTCCAAACAAGTCTTGTGCTTTGATGGCCCCTTCCGCTCCCAGATGAAAACTTCCCCAGTCCACACAGGCTCAGTGACTGTGACCCAGGGAAGCTGCAGCTTTGCAGCCATTAAAGGCCTCCAAGGAATGACACTTTTCAAATGTCTCAGCGTGGCTGGGAAGCAGATGAAGGAGCTCACAAATGGGACAGCACCTGGTTTCAGACCTCAGGGGCGGCCACGGGGGCTCTTGGGAAAGCTCGATAACACAGCTGTGGTCATTCTTTGTTAGCCAGAAGTAAGCCCAAAGTTAGCAGGATTCATGGAAATGTAGGGGTGCTCGAGCAGAGGGAGAACAAATGGGGGTGGGGTTTGTCTTTCATTGTGTCCTTGATTGAAGGCCACAAATCCAGTGGAAGTCACTGGAGGGACAAAAGGGACTGAAGGTGACTGTCAGCAAGGGAGGGGCGGCTAGATGCCTCACAGTATCCATTATTACTGTCTACTTTTGCTTCCTTTTTTTCAGTTATTTCTCTTTTCATACATTTAATCTTCATATTCAGTTCATCTTAAAAGTGGATAGTGATGGAGAAATGGGCCACCTATTAAGACTCCTTGCTATTCTCCCAGAGGACCTCTGCTGGGTTCTCAGCACCCACATGGTGACTCACAACCTTATGTAACTCCAGTTCCAGGGCATCTGATGTCCTCTTGTGGTCTCTATGGGCACCTGACACGCATGTGGTACACATATATGTTCAGGCAAATAAAATAAACGTAAGTAACCCTTTAAGTTCCTCAAATTCTTTCCCACAATCCTGCACAAAAATGCCAGATTCCCTCTACCGAATGAACTTGGGTATTTTTATGATGTCAGGTCAATCTAGGCAAATCCTCTTCTGATAACCACCCCTATACTCCAATATCTCTCATTTCATTTTAAAAACAAATTATGTAGAGGCTGATGTGGTGTCACAAGCCTATGGTCTCAACACTTGGGGAGTTGAAGTAGGAAGGTCAATAAGTTCAAAGCCAGCCTGAGCTACACAATCAAACCCTGTATAAAAACAGAACAAATTAAACTGCCACCAGCAAAATAAATATACTTTTTCACTTAAGAGCCACTGAGCCCCACCTTCTAACTAATCTACTTTGACATTTTATTTATTTGTTTGTTTATTTATATTTTTAATTATACACAAGTATGTGTGTCTATGTGTGGGCATGTACACACGAATACTCCATGAATACCCATGGAGTACAGAAGAGGACATCAGATCCCTTAGATCTGGAATTCAAGCAATTGTAAACTGCCTGATTTGGGTGCTGGGAATCAAACCCAGGTCCTCTGCAAGAGCGGGAAGGGTTCTTTACCACTGAGCTACCTTTCCAAATCCTGCTCTGACATTTTAGTAGAAGAAAGTTGACTATAAACTACAAAGTCATCTATCCACTTTCCCATGGTAAGACTATGCAATTCGCTAGTCTCCATTCACCAAGAACTAACATTGCACCATGTTGAAGCCATTGCTTTATAAAGCTACTCCCCTAAAATTAAAATTCCAAACTTCTAATTCTGGTTGTCTTGACAGGGAAAGACTAGTGATCTAATATTTGCAGCTTGCATTTAGAATTAAGGGATTCTTCAGACGTCTTCTTCCTGGGGTCACTTTAGGAGAAGGGAAGAGATGGATGTAAGCTCTAAATATGGGGCCAGTGACCTCGCTCAACAGCTAAAGGTGCTTGCTGCCAAGTCTGATGACCTGAGTTCAATCCCTGGAGTTCACATGGTAGGAGGAAGCTAACTCCCAAAATTGTCTTCTGACCTGTGCATGCTAGGGCGTGAGCATATTCACATACACACACACACACACACACACACACACACACACACACACACACACAGAGAGAGAGAGAGAGAGAGAGAGAGAGAGAGAGAGAGAGAGAGAGAATAAATGTTCTAAAAATAGTGTAACTACGAGGAGGATGAAGACTTCACAGGAAGGAGCAGAAACCAAAGGAGAGGAATAGAAACCATGGCAAGCTCTGACTTAGAAGGCTGTAGTAGAGATCATCTTGAAAGATATTGGTTGGTATTTTCCTCAGCTTTGCTTACAAGGCCTCATCACCCTCTCTCTTAGTTACAGCTAGGACCCAAAATTGTGATCTTCCAGGAACAGGAGGACGGTTAGGCCTTTGGAACGAGGGTCGTACATGCTCCTTCAGGGTTTTGGCACGAGATCAATGAAAATGAAGACACGACCACTCCAAGGTATGGTGGAGGAGAAGGTTTTTATTATAGATATGAGGGAGAGCAGAGCCAGAGGCTTCTGGAAGAGTCCAGAGCAGGGAGAGAAAGTAGTAGACTAGACATGACCAGGCTGCTTAACCCGGCCACGAGAGGAGAAAGCGGGGAAGAATGGGAGAGGAAGAGAAGAGAGAGGAGAGAGAGAGACAAGGAAACCAAGAGGACAAGGTGTGTGGGGGGAGACAAGAGAGTGTGTGACCAAAATGGCAGGTGTTTATAGGAATCAGAAACTGGGGGAAGGGAACCAAAGCCCCTGGGCTGTATGAGTTTAGTGACGGGGACAGGGTGAGAAGTATGGGCAGGAGCCATAGGTACTGAGTGAGCCTAGAGGTCGAACATGAACTTTTTGTATGCCAGTCGACACCACAGTTAGCCATTTGTTCTGGGTTCCTTTGGGACGTGGGCCTCCTCCGTCTTGGTTCCAGGAGGAAGATAGCCACATTCTTTGTGTCTCTCCTATAACAACAGCTTCTGTTTTCTTGCCTGGTGTGGGATTCCTGGCAGTGTGCCAGGAAGTATTGCTGGGGAGTTTTATCCTGCCCTCCCATAACTTCTTCATGCCCTCCTACATTTCCATGCCCGTATTTTTAGGTTATTTTAATGTCATTTTGTAGACCTGACCCAGATCAACTAAGTTAACATTCTAGCAATATTAAAACATAATACTAGCATTACTATTGAGAGCAATATTGAGATTCCTGTTTATACTTCGAGACTTGAAGAGCCCCAGGAAGTTCTGAAACACCACAATATGTCCAGGGACTTCAGAGCTACTAACACAACCATCACTTCTCTCAGCTATCACATTTCCTTTTCATTCCCCTGGACTCCCCCATTTGACTTGCCATAGTTCTGATGCTGTTCAAAAGGCTTCTTTTGGCATCCCAAGCAAAGATGCTGAGGTGCAAGGAGACACCGTAGGGACAGACTTGGATGTTGTATGAGAACGAGATCTCGTGCACTTCTCTGCATGAGCTGGATATCCTACAATAAACATTTATAGATTGGATCTCATAACCTAGGGCGTAACGGGGTGGTCAAGGCTGTTAGGGAAGAAAAGAAAAAGAAGGCAGATGGTGGTAGTGCACATGGTGATTGTGTGTGTGTGTGTGTGTGTGTGTGTGTGCGCGCGCGCACACACATGAGTGTGCTTCTACCTGCTTCCCCTCTTTGACTTTCCACACTTGCTTCTCTGCTGTCACTCTTGTCTGTGGTTGAGAAGTTCCCTTTCTTAATTATTAGGCAAATAAGCCAAGCTTGTATGTCTAGACACAGGGCTGGACCTCCATCTTGCATAATAGAGGAACTGGTCTTCCTTCTCCAAAAGGCCAATTTCTGCTTGTGCCTTCATTCCAGGATCCCGTTGCCTTCCTGAGGATGTGGTCCTTTGTTTTCCTTTCTCTTCTCGACGATCAACCTCTTCCTCCTTACACGTTGTTGCCATTGGTGGACAGATGAGTCCTGAAGAAAAGACATCACCACTTTGAATCCACATCTTTCTTGCTGCTTCCATTTCTCTTACTAACACCACGTGGATGGTGGGGAAGTGGGGGCTGGGGAGCACTTCCTGCTTCTGAATGAACTATAAATGCGTTTCTTTAGGTTTAAGTACAAATGTATTTTAAGAGCAATGACCATTTTTAAGCAAAGAAGATTGTCTCTAAGGCTCCATGTTCTAAGACTGAGGTGGTCTTGAGAAGGGGCCATGTTCATGGCCAAGACCTTATTGGTTCTACATCTTTTAAGGAATGGTTCTATATCTTCGGCAGCACGCAAGAGGGATGCCATCCAGGTAGAGATCGAAACAAGTGCAGTGATTACCCATCTCATGGTTCCAGGCAGAGAGCAGGGTAGATGCCTCTGGCTAAGATGTCTCCAAAAGTCCAGGCCTTTCTTTCCATTCCAAGACAGTCACTCATCCACTTTACCGAAATACGGCTCTATAGCTCCAGCCCTGGCATCTATGCTTCAGGTGTGAGCTCACAAAGGGCGAAGGGTAAGGTGAAGGGCTGGATGCTGGCCATGCCGGTCTCCCCTGAAAGGCCTTCTCAGACCTCTAACCGGTAAGCTCCATTTATATTCCCCTGGTCAGTGTGGGCTCCTTACCTATAAGGGAGAACAGAGCAATGCCATGTTTTGGTTGTCTAGCTGTTTAGGAGAAGAAAAGGGAAAACCGGGCTCGAGAAACCTTTTGGTAGCTGCGTGTGTCATACATCGCATGTGTGGACATGCCTCGTTGTTCGTTACAGCACCCCGGGGAGTATTCGAAATGATGGCCAGGTAACCCTTGGGCCAATTAAAGCAGGTCACTGGGTAGGACACAACGTGGGTCATTTAAAAAGGATCTTTAGGCAGTTTCAGCACGTAGCCGAGGGCTAGAATTTCTTTCTGAATGCTGCCTCAAGTCATTCTGACCCAGTTCTCATTGGAAACCAGAGATGCATTAAAAAGTGCTAGCGAGGGAAGGAGGGGGTCTTATTGATTAGAGAAAAAGAAACGCAGAGGGCGGGCGAAGTCTAAAGTGAGGGAAGAGCGCACCCTCCCTACCTCCCACAAGCGGTGGCAGCCAGCCCTTGGGCCTTTCCCATCACTTCCCAGGCAAAGACAGGATAAAACCTGTAGGCCTGGGGAGGCGTCTCGCCGTGATGCAGCCTGCAGTAAAGGTTGAACAGAGCAGGTAACCTGGAACTGCAGGCTCGACTCGTCCACGCCAGTGACGACACTCAGCTGAGATCCTATTTGGGACAAGTGGGTCATTTAAATGTCTGTTTAATCCCAAGCCACTTTTGACTGAATAGGATGCTTAGAGTTTGAATGCCAGGGCGCTCTCTACCCAAGTCCCTCTGCCTAAACTGCAGACATTAGATCCACTGGCTGGGCAGCTGCCAAAAAGCCCAGTGCTAAAACACCCTCATTCTTCTGGGAGCTTGGTTATTTTGAAGCCAAACAGCTGGTCTGTCTGAGTCCCTGGTGGTGTCAATTAGCATGGGATTTTCCAGACTCTCAGCGCTGAGCATCCATCCCGACTGAAGCTTGAGGAGGTGGAAGGACTTGTCCAAGGTCACCCAAGCTACCGGTTTTAGCTCTGGGATACCAGCACCAACCTTGAAATGAAATAGAATGGGCGTTTCATGCAAAGCAGAAATTAAACACATGTGCCCCAAGACACATCAGTATCTAATTATTGCTTTCAACCTTTCAAGGCCCCAAATGAGGCCCATATTGCAGAAGTAACTCAGCAAGCAAAGGGAAATCTAAATAACCACCATGTATTTTCTGTCTCCGTCATAGCTGTGCGCTACTCCCTGTGCGTCTCCCGCAGCCTGGGTTCCCCCAGATGCTCGGCTGAACGGATGCCTGCAAGCCTCTGCTCCAGTGCCCATTGTTTAGAATGCCTTGACAGGGTTGCACCCATTCCAAGCGAGGCGACAAGAAATCAACCATCTTTGGGATTTACGTGGAAAAGCTGGTGGTAGCTGAAGTCATGCACAGACTGATGAGCGCTTACTGTAATGTGCTCTCAAAGTTCAGTGTTGTAAGCTCTCTAGGTGACTGCAAAATGATTGATTCTGAAGATGAACCCTGAAGAAATAAATTGATTCCTCTGAAGTAAGTGGACCATTAATTCTTGACCTTAGAATCTCTAAAATGTTTTAAAAGAAGTTGACTTAGCAGTTACTTCGTTTTATGGAATTAACTCTTTTTTCCCCCTTCTTTGGTTAAGTTATCTTTTGGGGGGCTTAGCCAACAAACTTCCTAGGTCCCAGGAAAATAAGATAGAGCCAGCTATTAATGGTGATGTCCCTTATTGCCTTTCATGCATGTGAACTTGAGGTTGAAGTCCTAGCAGGCAGGTCAGGTGTGATGGAGCGAATCTCTGAAAGCTTACAACGGCCTCCCAGCCACTCTGGAAATGGCTGGAGTCCTTGGTCTAAGGAGAGCTCCTTGCTGGGGTTGGCAGATTCAGCAGCTGCCTGGTGTAAACTCCCTGAGAGACACACTTGTTGCTTGGGTCATGCACTTCCAGCTGAGGGGAGGTAGGGAGAGATTTTGCTTTATTGGCTGTAGTGAATCCCTCAAGGCTGACCCTGAGGGAGTTCTGGTGATGAGTTTAACCTCTATTCCTTCTTCTTCAGAACGTCTTCGTTCATTGCATCTTTACTGAAACAGTACCTCCTGGTTGTCTGCAGAGGTTAACATTTGTCCATTCAGTAAACAATTGGAGGCTTACATGTCATTACACACACACACACACACACACACACACACACACACACACACACAGTTACAAGTCAAATAGACAAACTGTTCAAGCCTATAAAGACCTCTTCTAAAGCTCTTTGAGCCCTGTATTGAAAGTTGATGACGTGTGGTTCACACCCTCATCCTCAGCTCTAGTCCCTTCTCGGACTCTACCTCAACTGTCCAGTAAGTGGGGGTGAACCTTACCAGTAGGAACTGCCATTTGCCTACCAGTTGAGCCCTGTTAAGCATCTTGCCTTTGGGAAGAGGTGCATGTGAGCCTTAGAAGTGGGTTCAGGGCTATTTAGCCAGGAAATTTCTGACTACTGGGTATCATTTGGAAGGGAAGATAGAGTTCTGGCTGGGTACATTCCCTTAGCCTTGTAATTCCTAAGCTCAGAGAGGCCCTCTGGGCATTATTTCAGGGTTCAGCAAAGTGGTCCCAGCTTCCCCCATCTGAGGATGGTGCTGTGTGACGGGCTAGGAGGTCTCTTTAAATACCCAAGATGCTTTGTATTTCAGTCATGGGGAATGCTTTGTTGTTTCTCAAATAAACTGTCATTTTCTAGAACAGACTTAAACCAGCTCCTAGGTTGGCTCTTGATGCCCTTGTCATGTCCCATCTATCCTGGGAGATTACTCTATTGGCAGGGCAGAGAATGTGGCAGGCTGTGGAGCTGATTCAGTCTGGACAGAGCGTCTCCTCTGCAACCTCTCTTCCTCACTCATAAGTGAAGTCCAATCTCCTCAGAATGCTCCGGTCCAAGGCTCTGAGTAATGACAAAGATACCATGCCAGGGATTCAAACCAAGATGTCAACACTCTGCTTGGTCCAAGGTAGTGTAATTCCACCAAACACAAGCTTGCCAGGACCAGCAGTGAAACTGTTAGCCCAGTCTCCCTGCTTAGGACTCTGCCTAGCAAGAAGAAACAGGAGGCTGACCTCCGAGCACATGGCTTCTGCCTAGTCCATTGTTCTTCCTCTGCCTTCTGAGTTGCCTGTCAACTTCAGCTCAGAGTGAGTGCAAACATCTCCACAATACCTTTGATATCTTTAGAAGGTCTTAAGTTAAAGAATTTCTTAATGGACTGGGCATGTAGCGTTTGTCTAGCACACTCAAGACCCTGGGTTTGATCTCCCAGCACTACAAAGCACACCACAAAAAGCCATCTTTCTGGGAATTATATAACAGCAACGGTGATGTCAACAATAGTAATAATGTCCCCGTGTTGGGCATTTACCATATTCCAGAACACATGCTGAATATCTAATCTTATAGCCACCCTACAAGAAGCTATTATTATTTGCAGGAGACCTTTTTTTAACTTCCAATGTTTGTGTTCAAACGTAGGACCTCATGGTGGAAAGCATGTTTGACATGGCATGGCACGATGGCACAGCACCGCACAGCATGGCACAGCATGGCATAGCATGGCACGGCACAGCACAGCGCGGCACAGCACAGTGCGGCACAGCACAGCATGGCACAGCACAGCACGGCACAGCCTGGCACAGCACGGCATGGCAAGCACAGCACAGTATGGCATAGCATGGCACGGCACAGCAGGCAAGACCTCTGCCACTGATCTACAACCTAGTCCAGGAAAAGAAATCTTTTATCTAAAGCTTTGTGCTTAATCACATTTATTCACGTGTTTAGGTGACGCCCACATGGCACGTATGCACGTGGCTGTCAAAAGACAACTATGGGAGTTCTCTGCTTCCACTATGTGAATCCTGGGAATCAAACTTAGGTCATCAGGCTTGATGCCAAGAGTCTTTCTCTGCTGAGCTGTCTCGCCAGTCTCAGGAAAATAAACATTAAAAGAGATTAAACAGCGTCCCCAAAGCCATGCATTTAAGACTTGAACCAACGTTTGTGTGACTCTAATGTGCATTTCCTAATCATTGTGCTGTAGAATCAGCCGTTACCCAAGGCGTTCTCCCAAAGGCTTTCAACATTTCTTTGCAGGAAAGACACCACCCTTCAATTCAATTAAGGGAAACATGGTTCCAGGCTAAAGGCATTTATTTTTCATATCTCTGGATTTGGAGGGGTACAGCAGCTCAAGCCCCGGGCACTGGCCTCACAGGGGCAGTTCCCATGGTGGAGGAGACTGCTACTTCGGCTGAATACAGGTGCCTTTCACTCTGACTTCCTCTTTGTCTGGCCGTTTTCCTTCACGTGTCTTAGGAACCTGTGTCAGCTCTTAGGGTACTGTAACATGCTGGATGCCCGGTCTGAACTCTTCCGGTTTTGCGATGGTGACATCTGCCAGGCTTTTCCTTTTGAATAGCGTCCACTCCGTTGATGTCCTCAGCGTTTCTCATGTATGTGCTCAATAGGAGACAGGTTTTCTAGAAGACACAGAGATGAGAGAGTACTTGAAGCTACATATAGACCGGGCCCTGTTTGCAAGTCCGAGACAAGACGCTGGGGCTGGGATGGGGGTGAGGGCAGGGGAGGGGGCCGGGAGTGGGGGTATGAGGGTGGCCGAGGAAGGCTGGGGCAGCAGGAACGAGGTAAGAAGTGGGGCAACGGCTGGGTAAGGACCTTAAACTTGAGACTCCCGGCAAATTCACAAGTGCAGAGTGTTGCTATCCGCAGTGCCAGCGACATATGAAGGAAGACAGAGAGGGCAAGATGTTGGACCGCTGGAAGTTGCCATGACTCCGCCCCCTATAGCTGAAATATCGACCCCAGTGCCTTCCTCCTTCCCACAATTCTACACTGATAGGCTGAAACGATTCCACAACTCCTGGGGAGGACGGCCAACCCTGAAGCGCTGTAGCTTTGACTAGGGCTTTTAAGAGTGTATGCTCTGAGTCTAGAGGAAGCAGGAGGGTGCTGGGTCCTCGGCGTCGGCCCCGAGAGGAAGCTCTAAGAGCAAGGGAGAGGGCACGGCTCTGGGCCTGTTGTGCTCCCCAGGCTAGCTCGTGAGGGACAGCTGCACTAATTGCAGATTATGTTGCTGATGCATTATCCAGATGGCTCAATTGATAATGTTTTGGCAGCTAAATGCTTTATAACTAAAGATTCCCAAGGTGCAGGTAACCAATTAGGAAACAGGAGACGCCTCCCTGGGAACACACACTCCTGCTGTCTGTGGGCGTGGATATGTGTGGGAGTCAGTGTTGGGGTCTGGTCCCTGCTCTGCGCTGTATAAAGTCTGTCAGCCCACATTTCATTGTAGTCCTGACCTGCCTGTCCCCAGGGCTCTCTTGGGTGGACTTCTCTGCTTTCTGCTTCCCAAAGCTATGTGCTCAGCATTAAACTTTGGCAATAGAGTTGAAAGGGTTTATTCTCATTATTTAATGTGGTATGATTGAGCATCCTCCGGATATATGCCCAAGAGTGGTATCACTGAGTCTTGAGGTAGACTTATTCCCAATTTTCTGAGAAGTTGCCATACTGATTTCCAAAGTGACTGTACAAGTTTACACTCTCACCAGTAGTGGAGGAGTGCTCCCTTACTCCACATCCTCTCCAGCATAAGCTGTGATTGGTGCTTTTGATCTTAGCCATTTTGACTGGTGTAAGATGGTATCTCAGAGTTGTTTTGATTTGAATTTCCCTGATGACTAAACATGTTGAACAATTCTAAGAAACTTCTGGAGGCATCACCATCGCTGACTTCAAGCTCTACTATAGAGTTATAGTAATAAAAACAGCTTGGTATTAGCATAAAAACTGACAAGTGGACTGTTGTAATTGAGTTGAAGACCCTGATGTTAAATATCATTCTTAAAAGAGTTTTGTCATTCCCTCAGGGCTTCAGAATCTATTCTGAAGAGGGGACAAAACAAAGCTAGAGGCTGCAGACACCATGGAAAACAATATCTTTCATATACAACAAGGCAGATACATGCATGAGACCATAGCGGTAGTGACAGCATGCACAAGGCCTGTACCAGTCCAACTCAGACAAGAATCCCAGCATGGAGGATGGAACGTGGGCACAAAGTTCAGCCCCTAGAGAAGGAGCTGTTGGCATTTGATTACTGCTGGGCAAGGCAAGGTCGGTTTCCTTGGGAACGACCCTTGGCATATGAACCGAACTCTAGGATAGGCTACATACCCAGGAGTAGCTGACCAATACAAATTGTATTCTCTCTCTAGAGAGATCATGAAGTTGGTGAAGTTGAGGAAAGAGGATGAGTGTGATCAAAATGCATTGTATGACTTTCTCAAAGGATAAATAAAAACGTCGTTGCTTTTTGTAAAAAGTGTTTTGTCATCATATCTCAAAGCTGCAATGAAAGCCCAAAATGACAATGTCAGCCTACAGGTTTCATCTCATAAGTCAGCCTTTCTTCTTTAGTGGTATTTGCTTGGATAACTATATGGAAGAGTTTTAAGGTCATATTCAAGCCGAGTGAAAAAAGAGTGTCCTGGTTGATTAGTAATGTCTGCCTCAGGGATAGGACAGTAGTGTACACCTGACACCACAGGCTTAGGTGTTGTCTAACCCAACACCCATTCTAAATGCTTTCCCCCTCACACAGATCTACTAGATAAAGTGGAAAACCTAAGTATTTGCTTACCTGACTTACTTTGCAACTAAGGATGACCATGTCACACAATTCCTGTTTGGGTATGAGTTTGCAGCTAGTCAACCTTCTTGTGACTGGGAGGATTGTTTGAGAAATCAGAAAGACACCACCTGGAAATCTCAGAGAGCATAAGCCACTGTCAACAGCTGGCTATCTTAAGATACCCAGTCAGCTGAGAATTGTTGTCCCCTATTCATTCCAGCCCCCAGACTGGGATATCTCTACCTTTTTGTGGAACTTCTTCCTAACACATTCTAGACTGTACGCCTAACTTTCCAGGGCCAAATATAAATGTCTTCAGGAGATGTCTCACACCGGTCATTATCATCCAGTCTGCTGCTGTTTTAGTATGTTTTCCTTCTTCCCTTGTGTGGAATTGTGAAATTCTGCTCCTCTACTAGTTGACACTCCAGGGGTACAGTCTTTTACATACAATAAATACTCTGTGGCTACCAGAAGCCAGTGTAATAGAACTCTGACCAAGAACACCAGGAGGGGTGGGATTCCAGTGCCAGGTCTGTCCTCACTAAGTGTGTCCTGAGTCCCTCAGGACTTCAACTGCATTGCATAAAATGAAGGACTGGTCCAAAAAATGCCAAGGTGTCTGGCTCTAACTCTTATAGGCTCTAATAGAAATGGATGAAAAATGGGTTTGTGTCTCTTTTTTGTTTCAAGACTTCCCTTGGGTAACTGACATATTTTGATGTTATGTATACTCCAATCATACCATGTTGTCAGAATTTGCCTTTGGCGAGGAAGTCTAGCTTTTCCCTTGGTGCTGAGGCAGTCGTCTTTGGCAAGAGATAGACTACGTATCTTGAGATGAGACAATCCTCAGAGCAGGCACAGGATTTTTCTCAAAAGTGCTGTCTTGGTCCATCTGCTTGATTCTGTCTGCCCTGTGCCCACCTAACATTTGGTGCTAAAGCTATCCTACAGCCTTGGTTTGGAAGCCTCCTCAGAAGTTTGGATTTCTACACAACTGTTTTGTTCCACCTCCTTGGAACCCAAACACCTTTCTCATTAGTCTTCACCCTTTGATCTCAGCTCCTATCTGTAGTAGGAGGCCGCTTGTTCATTCCTGGCTGCCCAGACCACAAAATAACCACACAGAAACTCTATTATTTGCAATACTGTTTGGTCAATAGCTTAAGCATATTTCTGGCTTACTCTTATATCTGAAATTAACCCATTTCTCTTAATATGTGTATCGCCACGTGGCAGTGGCTTCCTGGCAAGGTTCCATCACATCTGTCTCTGGCAGCGGTTACATGGTGTCTCTCTGACTCTGCCTTCCTTCTCCCAGCATTCAGTTTAGTTTTCCCGCCTTGCTCTATTCTGCTAAGCCACTGGGCAAAACAGATTTATTTATTAACCAATAAAAGCAACGCATATACAGAAGGACTTCCCACACCACCTATCCTTCTCTTAGTGTTCATCAGTTCTCCCCTGCCCTCACTGCAAATCCACAGTGAGCCCAGCTCTAATTACAGGCCACAGTGACAGGTGTAAAGAATGGAACTCTCCATAGAGACTAAGATCTGTATGTGGGAAGTCCTTCACATTCCCTAATATCTAGTCCCAGGAGTTCCTGCCACTTTTTCCTAATGAGAATGATTAGGCCCCCAGTGGTATCACCTTCCTCCCAACCAATGCTCTCAGAGTTAGCTAACCATGTGCAATCACACAGATTAAGTAACTACCTTGTAAAATGCAGCACCAAGGAAAGTCCTTTCTGTTGTCTGCGGACTTTGAAACTCAGGTTCTACTAAGAACTCCAACTGTCCCAGCTTTATGGCCACATTTCTATAGCAACCTCTTCAGGCTCCTGAAAGCTGAGCCATCAGGCACCGGGGCTCCACCAGAGGCGTG